TTTTGAGTTCAACTATGTGGCAATTATTGTCATTATGTATTCGGCATGTAAACTAACTTGAAAATTCTTTGTGGACTTTCTTCTCAACCTCAACTGATGTTTGTGAATGAACCCGTCGCTCTCGCCCTACATATGTTCTAAATTCCCTAGAAATGTGATTGGGGTTATGTGTCAGAGAAGGCAATGATGAAGAATTTTTAAATATAGAAAAGAAAATCAATATACAACTTACTAGAGAAAGAGTTCAACTTGAGTATAATTTATCAAGACATGTATGTGTGCTTGTAACTTCTTAATAGGAATCAGTTTGAAGTATTCAAATGCTCCAATTGATTTCCTAATAGGAGGGAAGAAGTAGCTCGAATTGGAGGGACCTAGTGGACAATTATTAATGCGTGGGGGGCAGTTGAAAGATATCTTGATGTCATTAAAGTATCTAGAATAGAAAGTAAGGACCTCATCTTGAGGTAACGTTCTGCTATTGACTCCTTTGGCCACACCTTATTCTTGGCATAAAATTTCAATTTTTCGAAATCCCTGCATGTTTAATTAATTAATAATTGTCTGTAATTGAGATTAAAATGTGGAGAATGCGTAGAAAGAGATAATAGGATACATCCATCGATATTGAATTGGGCAAGCAAGTTTTGCCTCTCAAACAAGATGGATAGTAAGATAAACCATGACAGTGAAGAAGGACAAAGAAAATATCATCTCAAAATAACAAAGCGTCAAAATAATTTTATTCTGCAGTTAATCCAGCTCCCCAGGTATCAAAACATTTGCACATAACTTTTTAAAACAAGAACACAGCTCTAGCAAAACCATAGAGACATCAGGAGGGAGTGTGCTTTTGAGTACTAAAGGAAGTAATTGTTGCATTAAAACATAGGAGTCATGACTCTTCAACCCAATAACCTTTCGAGCTTACAGATCAATACATCTTGAGATTTTACTGGAATATCCATTAGAAACTTTTATTTTCTTTAATGTTAATAAGAAGATATCTTTGTTCTGCTTTGTCAAGCTAAATTTAACTAGTTGAAACCTGTCATTATCATCGAGCCAAGTATCTGGATGAATTCCAAGGGCCCTTAAATCTTTTCTAGTTGAGAGGTGGTCTTAGACTTTTCGGGTTTATTGAGCAATGTGTATAGCACATTATCGTACACATTCTTTTCAATCTGCATGACGTTAAGACTGTGACAGATCAAATTAAATTTTCAATAAGAAAGGGTGAAGAAGATACTTCTTTTCTATCTCTACATTGGTTGACCATCAGATGTGCCGTGAGAACATCGGGTGGTTCGTTCGACTTCATCAATCTTGCCAAACTCAACATCAACACCTTCTTGCTATCGAAATATATCCATACTAGATAAAATAAAAGGAGGATCTCTTTTTTCTTGTTTACCATTGAAGAGATTCCGTTGTAATCTAAATCTACGTTTCAAATCGAGAAACTGTCAGTGGCCCAAAAAGCACCATTTACAACTATGTGGAAGGCGTACAGCTTTGGAGTCAAAGTTGCACTCAGGACAAGCCAACCTAGTATACATGCTGCAACCAGATAATGTTCCTAACCAAGAAAAATTACTAATCGTCCACATCAATGCTGCTCGAAGATTGAAAAGCTTTCTCTTATATGAGTCATAGGTTTCCGCACCAGTAGTCCACAGCTTGACCAATTCCTGCATCAATGGTTGTAGGTAGACATCTATATCATTTGCAAGTGCTTTCTTGCTAGGAATGATCATAGAAAGCAAAATGGAGCTCAGTTTTATACACATCCAAGGCGGCAAATTGTACAAAATTAACACAATAGGCCATATATTGTAACTGGTGCTCATGTTATCTGTAACACCTCACGTAATTATATCAGTATACATAATATATTTAATTGAAAAGTCCATACATATTTCTAATACTGCAACAAGTCAATTTCAAAACATTTCTAACATAATTTAACAACATAAACTATTAAAGTCTTATAGTCATGGCAAATAAAAATATAACATAGCATGTGCTTGAGGAGCATAAAAGCCTTCACGGCTCACTTTATTGGTGCCTTCCCTTAATTCCTACTAGATCCTTTGCCTAAAAAATTGTTAATATAGGGGGGTGAGATCAAACGTCTCAGTAACTACTGAAATTCTAACCTATACAAGCAAATCACATATGATAAACCAAAAATCTATTTATAGGTCTGTATATATGTATATATTAAAAATCACAGATTTGATACATTCAATTCAATTTCAATTTATTATTCAATATATCCAAAAATAATGCAATATGCTGCCTCCCTTATATCACCGTCCACCCTTATACCGCTGACTGGAGCCATAGGCTAACACATAGTCCGATAGGAACTAATCCATTTTATTGAATTATTCCAAGCTCACCGATACAAGAGATATATCCGGCCAAAGATATAGAGCTCAAGCTCGGACTATGGCTCCCCTCCTTTGTGAATAGGGAGGTGTCACATGTCCCACAGCTCCAATGAATTCTCGGCCAAAGGAAAACATGGAAGAAGGGGCCCTGACAAGTGCCATCCACTGTGCACCGAATGATGGCATACCACGTGGTAATTTTATATCCATGCAATCTTCTTCTATCCTTAGCCCAACAATGCATGTCAGATGCCAATAATATTACATCATGAATACGTCCTCAAATATATTAAAAATAAGATAGCAATAAAACTTATATACCATTTAATAACAACTCATGACAATTCCATAGCCATCAATATATTTAATTATTAATCATAATTAATAGCAATAAATCTTAACAAAATCAAATAACATACCAAAACATTCATTTAAAAAATTACAATATTATATTTCAATATATAAAAATATAGTAAATTCATAATACAATCATACACAATTCACATGTACAAGAAAGAATTTTCAGAGTTACCTGGTACTCTTTAGCTTACAAATATTCACACAAAGATTACTCCAAAATTCTCAAGTCTACAAAATTGCACATAAATATTTATTAATATAAACTCAGAACTACTCCAAAGCTACTCTAAAATTCTAAGACTACCCTCTAAACCAAAATTACATAAATATATTAAATCTCCCAAATCTAAGCATTTATAATAGATATTATTTTGAAAAATAATTTACATATAAGGCTATTTAAATCTAACAAAACCCAGGATATGACACTTAGGGTGTCCAAGTCCCTTTCACTTAGACCAACATTATAATCAGAACGCTGACTATGAGAAAGGAACGCTTTGAGGGCGACGGTGGGAATGACGACGGCGATAAGGCGAAGAGAGTAAGGAAGAAATTTCGACCGACGATGCAGACAGGGAAGGATGCCCAGAAGAACGACGACAATACTCAAGATATGGGTAAAACCTTCAAGGATACGCTGCTGGGGGATAAGTCGGAGCACTTCTCGACAGACCAGAGAGGAAGCAGTGTTTTTGAGGATGCCTGGGTAGAATATATCGAAGGGCTCCAATGCTACTTTAGTAAGGATACCTCCGAAGACGACTCACAGGAGATCACTGGCAAGGAGGACCTGGAGGATGATGACTGCCCCACGCTTAAGGTGTCAAGGGAAGAGTACGAAAAATGGTGCGCACCTTGGCGCAAATCTCTCATTGTGAAACTCCTGGGGAAGACGATACCCCTCTGGGCTCTAAGAGACAGCCTTAATAGGATCTGGAAGACTAACTTTTCCTATTCAACAAGAGATATCGATAATGGCTATTTTGTGGTCTCCTTTGAGGATGAAGAAGACATGCACCGTATTTACCAAGATGGTCCCTGGATGGTTTCCGACAGATACCTGATGGTGCAAAGGTGGAGACCGAATTTCGATCCCTGGTGCAATGAGACGCAAAAGAAAATTGCTGTGTGGGTGAGACTCCCCCTTATCCCCCTCAAGTTTTTTAATGCCAATGCTCTTAGATCAATCGGCTCCTTGATAGGTCGTGCCTTGAAGATTGACCGCATCACCTACGCAAGTGAACGGGGAAGATATGCACGTATATGTGTTGAAATCAACCTACAGAAGCGACTGAAGTCATCGATAAACATCTTTGGGAAAAAAAGGGTGATCGAGTACGAAGGCTTGCATCTTGTATGTTTCGGCTGTGGGAAATATGGCCATCACAAAGAAAAATGCCCAGAGAGAGCCCCCCCAGAGGCCACGTCAGGAACAGCGGTTGCGGACGCTATCAAGGGAAAAGTCTCCCAACAGAATAAGACACCATCTACACAACCTGCAGCCAATGAGGGGACCAGTGGCAAGCATGAATATGAACCTGCTGGGGAGAAGCGAACACGAGGAACCATGGAAGGAGAGCCGACGATAGCCGGTGGTGCACCACCGCCAATGGAGGGGCTTGGTGTCTGGAATCTGGTGCAACGTCCAAGGCGGCGCAGATCAGGTAACCCCAAAAAATCGGGATTGAGCACACAAACTACAGAGGATATCTCGCATCAGATCAAAGGAAAGAACGATATCCGCGGGAAGGACATACACTTTAATGAGGCTATATTTCATGAGACTGTTAAGGCGAAGAATTCGCAAGGTCAAAAAGGTAGGGCCAACAACTTTGGCAAGGAAACCCCCAATCAGAAAAAGTGGGTCCCTGTGACTCATAAGAAATCAACATGGAGAGACAGAACAAGCAAAGGGAAAGAAAATATCACAGATAGCAGCCCATCTGAAGCAAGACCTCTGGCAGGACAAGCCCAAGAACCACGACTTCACTTTTTGAGTGCGGAAAACCCGTTTCAAGCACTGATGAATGAAACAGACGAGGCCCACACGACTGAAGAACCCACACAGATGCAAAGGACATCGCAAACGAACATTGCTAGCTCGAAAATAGAGATGACCCACGAACCAAACGCGCCTTCCTCCAGGCCACCTCAGCTTGTGAGCTGTACTCAAGGGACTGTCTCAGTTAATCCAATATCCAGGGGACCTATAAGCACTGACTCCCCTTCAATGGGTTACCCATGATTGGTCTCTTTTGGAACTGTAGAGGAACGGGCTCCAAAGCTCTACCAGGGCTCATAAAAGAAATTAAAAAGAGATACAGGGTTGATTTCCTAGCCTTGTTTGAGACGAAATGCGGAGGCCCTAAAGCGACTCGACGTTGCCAAAAACTGGGCTTTGACAAGTTTGACACTGTAGATGCTATTGGTTATCGGGGAGGTCTTTGGTTCGCCTGGAATGAAGGAAAATTCTCTGCCACTATCATTAAAAAAGCAGACCAATATATCCACGTGCTGGCAAAAAACGGTGATGAGAAGATTTATATCACCTATGTCTACGCTAGCCCGAATATAAATATCCGTCGACAGCTTTGGACGGAGCTGGCAGAGTTACGCATGAATGATGATTTGCCGTGGATTCTAGGTGGAGACTTCAACGTTACTCTCTTCTACCATGAACCCAGGTCCAATGCTGTTCACACATCCCCTCCTGATAAGGATTTCATTTCTTGGTTCGAGGAATTGGAATTAAACGATCTTGGTTGCAATGGTCCTTTCTACACTTGGAAAAGCCATAATTGTGAAAGTAGGATTGATCGGTGTGTAACTAATGACAGGTTTAAAGAAGCGTATAGAGATGCCTCGGTTAGACACCTCCCTTGGTTTCATTCAGACCATCGCCCAATCCTGTTAAGCACCTCTTTTGCCCAACCTGAGAGTAAAATATCTAGACCCTTTAGAATTATGGCTTCCTGGGTCCTTCATGAAGATTTTTCTAGACTAGTTGGTGACTCTTGGACCCCCGAGGCCTAGTGGGAAGAAAATGTGAATAATTTTACGAACGAAGTAGGCGCCTGGAGCCACCATGTGTACGGCCATTTGGGGAAAAAGAAGAGCAGATTAATAGGGAGACTCGAAGGCATATCACGCACCTACGGCAACCAGAACCTTTCCTCGTCGATCGATCAGCTCCATAAAAAACTTTGGAAAGAACTAGAAGACATCTTAATTCAAGAAGATCTTATGTGGGCCCAGAAAGCTAAGTGCAACTGGTACTCCCTTGGTGACAAAAACTCCAAATACTTCCACGCAAGAGTCAACGAAAGGAAAAGAAGAAATCGGATCCTAACCATAAAAAACGATCAAGAGGAATGGATTGAAGATCTCCAACAAATAAAAGTCACAGCCACTAACTTCTTCATAGATCTCTTCAAGAGTGACACTCATGACCCCAGTCCACACCTTCATTGCTGTTCCTTCCCCATGTTGGAGAAATCTGTGTTAGAAGATTTTTCCAAAGAGATTTCAGATGAGGAAATTAAATCAGCAGTTTTCAGTATGGGAGCACTAAAATCTCCAGGCCTGGATGGCTTAAATGCCCTCTTTTTCCAAAGCCAGTGGGATTCTATTGGCACCTCAGTAATTAAGGTGGTCAGGACAGCTTTCATGGACCCTAAGTCAATCAGGAAGCTCAACCATACATTCCTTATTTTAATTCCAAAAAGGGAGTATCCAGAAGTTATTCGCGATTTTCGCCCTATTAGCCTCTGCAATGTTATTTATAAAACTATTACCAAGATTATTTCTAATCGTATAAAACTCTTTCTCCCGCAGATAATATCGCCAAACCAAGGTAGTTTCGTCCCTGGACGCACCAGCTCTGATAATATCATTGTCGCCCAGGAAGTGATCCACACAATGAAAAACTTGCAAGGGAAAAGAGGCTTTATGGCTATCAAAATTGATTTAGAGAAAGCCTACGACCGAGTCACATGGGACTTTGTTATTAATTGTTTGAATGAGCTCCAGTTTCCTGAAAATATGAAGAATGTCATCAAAGCCTGTATCTCATCACCCTCTATGCAAATTCTGTGGGAGGGCTACAAAGCAGACGAATTCACCCCAGAACGAGGTCTTAGGCAGGGAGACCTGATCTCTCCTTATCTATTCGTTATTTGCATGGAAAGGCTGGCCCATTTAATCCAAGCAGAGGTCGATGCTAAGCGGTGGAAGCCGATTAAACTTGGTAAGGATGGCCCCCCATTTCACATTTATTTTTTGCTGATGATCTATTGTTATTTGCAGAAGCTAGCTTGGAACAGGTGGAGGTCATGAGACACTGCCTCCAGAAATTTTGTGATGCTTCAGGTCAACGAATCAACGCCAGCAAAACAAGAGTTCACTTCTCCCGCAATATAAACCATACCTGAGTTACTCAGCTCAGTCAAGCGTTAGGCTTCTCCAGCACCCCCAACCTCGGCAAATACCTAGGGGTCCCCCTCCATCATGACAAAGTGAACTCTGAAACGTATCAATTTATTATTGACAAGGTTCAAAATAGACTGAGTTCCTGGAATGCCTCTCGGATCTCCTTTGCAGGCAGAGACACTCTCATAAAATCTGTTGTCGCTGCACTGCCCTCGTATGCAATGCAAACTGCTAATATTCCAGCCCCCATCTGCGATACGATCGAACGACAAGCGCGAAATTTCTTGTGGGGCTCGTCGGATGAAAGAAAGAAAATCCACCTGGTTGCGTGGAACAAGGTTTGTAGTGTTAAATAGCAAGGCGGCCTTGGTATGAGACACCTAAAACAACAGAACCAAGCGTTTATGATGAAGCTTGGCTGGGGCTTAATTAGTGACCGCAACTCGTTATGGACAAGGGTGCTTAGAGCGAAATATGGATACGGAAATGACCTCCTTCCCCAAATCAATGCAGCGAGACCAGGGTCAAACATCTGGAATGGCATTAAAAGAAACTGGAAGCATGTCGAGGAGGGAGTACAGCAAGTCCGAGATCGGAATGGAAATAACGTTGCTCGCTGGAAGTGGGAAAAAAGTGGCTCTTTCTCTGTCAAATCAGCCTACAAGTCTCTTAACCACAGCACGGAACCTTCGCAGATGAGATGGATGAATATCTGGAAGCTCAGAATACCTCAACGGTGCAAAACGTTCGCATGGCTGCTGTTGCATGACAAACTGATTAACAACCAAATGAAATTCAAACGACATATTCACCCAAACAGGACTTGCGAGAGATGCAAGCGACACATGGAAGACAGCCTTCACGCCCTTCGAGATTGCATGGCCGTCAAAAGTGAATGGGATACACTCATTGCTCCTTCCTTCAAACCCATTTTCTTCTCCAGCACCCTCGCGGATTGGCTCCATCTGAATCTGACACGAAGAGTCTGTATCAGCCCTTGCTACTGGAAAGGGCTATTTCTCACCATTTGTTGGCTTTTGTGGCGAGATCGAAATGAGTGTATACATAACAACACTTCTCCTACTGCTCATAGTGCCCACGCTAGAGCATTCGCTATCTTAAACAGCATGAACGCTGCCCAGAACAAGCTTATTGGAACCACTCTCCAACCAGGCCTAAGAAATAAGATCGATCATTTACTACCTGATGCGGAGTTTGACGCGTTGGCTGAAGTGGATGGGGCATTTGCATATTCCAGCAACAAAGCTGCTTGTAGTGGAATTGTTAAGGACCGAAACGATACCATACTGGAAGGATTTCAGATGGGACTGGAAGCAGGTGATGCACTTACTGCCGAACTATGGGTGTGCTTGATGGGTCTCAAGAGACTTTGGGATCTAGGCCACAGGAGTGTGCTGTTACGTAGCGACTCTCAAGAAGCCTTACGTTTGATCCAAGGAGAGCCTCTGGAGCTGCATGAAGACGTTAACCTGATCAAGGAAGTGCAGGCGATGATCAGACGTGCCTGGAGAGTGGAACTGCGATACATAGCTCGAGACGATAACTTGATAGCCGATGCTCTTGCCAAAATTTCTCTTCAGGGAGGAATTGGCCTTCAGCTACTGCACCCCGACACGGTGATACGACTCATGCACATGGACACGAGAGACTAAGTTTCTTTTCTAGTTTCTATTCTTTTCTCTTTTGTTTCCTGAATATCAAAAAAAAAATCTAACAAAAGTATATATATATATATTTTTAATTATAAACAAACTGTAGCTTTATTTAATTTTACAAAATTCTCAATTTATAATTTTTCAAGCCTTCAAAAATTATTTCAAAAATATATATTTAACTTATTCAATATTTAAACCGATTAAAATCTCAATAATATATTAAATAACTCATATAAATTATTTAACTCAAATTTAATCGTTAAAAACATATTACAGGTCTAAATAACAAACTTTTCAACTAAAATCTTAGTTTAAAATTCTCAAAATAATCATTCAACAAAAATAAACTGATTAAAATTCCTTAATAATGTATTTTTAGATTTCTACGGTCATATATTGTCATAACTCCATATTTACTCTATACCCAAATGGTAAAATTTTCTCTAAACATGATAATGATACTAATAATATAAAGCTATAAATATATAGGAAATATTCATAAAGAAAATATGATAACAAGAAGTAGTTTTGTGTACCTAAATGATCTCCAAAACCGTCAGATACTCTGCAACTCGGCTCTCTCTCTCTTCTTCTTTCTCTATGCTTCTCTCTCTCTCTTCTCTTTTCTTTTGCTCTCTTCCTCTCCGCACTCTCTTGCTCTTGCTTGAAAGGAGATCCCGGGGGAATGATAATATATATAATACCCCATGTTTCATTTTCACGGCTCATCTCCCACTCTTTACTTCCATCCGTACCTTCCCCCCTTTTTTTCTTCCATCCAATTTCTTCTTTCATTTATTACCTTCCAATTTTTCCAACCCATTGAACACTCCCCCTCAACATTCCTCTTTCATTTAATACACCCCCTCAAGTTCTTCTTTGCCTCCAACTTTCCACCGATTTGGTGGAAAGTTGTCCCCCCTTTTTTTCTTTTTTTTATAATAAAATATTGTTATTATATATTTTTTATTACAATTTTTTTTCCAGTATGTTACAATTCTTCCCACCTAAAAAGAATTTTGTCCCCAAAATTCGATACACGAAGAGAAGGAGTTTACTTCAAGCAGCAGACACAAATACAAATATCTATACTACACATCAAGAGCACAACACAAGTACAAGTACAAGTATACCATAATACAATAATCAAAACTAACATAGTACCAACTCTTCCTAATCAAACAAGTTAGGAAAATCACGCCGCATTCGCTCTTCAGTTTCCCAGGTGGCATCCCCAGGAGACATTCCTTTCCAGAAAACCTTAAGCAAACTAATAGTTTTATTCCGAAGTTGCTTATCCTTAACATCCAGAATGCGTTCAGGTTCGGCCTTGAAAGTAAGATTCTCTTGTAACTCGATCTCTTCAGGCTCGATCACATGAGATGGATCTGGGTGGTACTTCTTGAGTTGTGACACGTGGAATACATTATGAATGTTGGTCAGTTGTGGAGGTAGGGCAATTCTGTAAGCCACTGGTCCTACTCTCTCCAAAATTTCATAAGGACCTATGAAACGGGGAGTGAGTTTCTTTGCTCGAATTGATCTTCCAATACCCGTCATCTGTGTGACTCTTAGAAATACATGGTCTCCTACCATGAATTCCAATGGTCGTCTTCTCCTGTCTGAATAACTTTTCTGTCTGCTTTGGGCAGTAAGCAGCTTTTGTTGTATCATCTTAATCTTCTGAGTTGTGTAATCCACCAGTTCTGGACCTATCAAACTTCTCTCGCTCAACTTTGTCCAACAAAGTGGAGATCTACACTTTCTTCCGTACAATGCTTCATAAGGCGCCATCTGAATACTTGAGTGGAAGCTATTATTGTAAGCAAACTCTGCTAAAGGAAGGTGATCATCCCAATTTCCTTTTAATTCAATTGCACAAGCTCTTAACATGTCCTCAAGCGTCTGGATAGTTCTCTCTATTTGTCC